CGAAACTGCAGGGACTTGTCCAGGCAGTTGCGAAAGAGGCAACACTGACTCAAAGACTCATATAGTAACACTATGAGTGTGTGTTCTGTATAACACTAAAAATTGATACCTGAGTATTCTTGTTTTCAGATTTTGTGACTTTTTTTTTAGATTGAAAAGGTTAGCTATGCCTCTTCCTGATTTCTAAGATGCTCTGGGAATTTCTATAGCTACACATTAGGGTTTATGCATCTTTTAGCGTCATGTTAACAAATGATTGCTTTAAAATAGCATTAAATAAATATTTACTTCTAGTGTTTCAATGAATTCATGACACACAGATTTTCTGCATGGCATCATTTGCACTCCAGACAGCTGATTATGGCTCTACACACACAAAATCTTCATTAAAGCCCCTGCATGTCTTAGTTTTCATTTAGAAAAAGAAAAGTTGGGGATGAGAAACTTATACCTCCCATGGCTGTAGGTGAAAGCATAGTACTCTTTACGTTTTGGAACTGAAGCTTCCAGAGTTCCAAGATATTGGGGAGATGGGAATAGATTAGTCAGTGATTGATGTTCTTCTTGTGTTGTTTCTTTGTTGTATTGTTGTATCATTGCTGCCTTGGAATCTGTAGTTGAAAAGACATATTCACATAAATTGTACCCATTGCTGTCCCTCTCGCTCTCTCCATTTCTAGATAGCCTGGGTGCCAATCAGTGTTTTCACTGCTTGATTACCTTCCCCGATGAGAAATTCAAGGAACGGCACATGAAGCGAGAGCATCCGGAGGACTTTGTTCAGGCCAATTTGCAGGATGCCCTTTTTGTCTGCTTCATTTGTAACAAAGCTTTTGAGAGTTCCCGGGCGCTCATCTGCCATCAGCGAGGCCATGCCCCGGCGCCCCCGTCTGATTGCAGCGACTGCTTGTGCCCCACCTTTGACTGTCCTGACTGCGGCCGCCGCTTTGGCCAGCTGGCCAACTATCAGCATCACCGCTTAGGCCATGCTGCCGGCTGCAGCTTGCCTCATCAGTGCCCCGACTGTGGCAAGAGTTTTCGGCAGCTTTCAAACCTACGTCGACACCAGGCTTTCCATCGGCAAACCCAGGAGTTGCTGCCTTCCCAGCCCTATTCCTGCACGGAGTGTGGGGAGAGCTTTAACCAGGAGGCAGGCCTGCATGAGCACTATATTCGTCATGCTCGTGGGGAGCTCTAGCATTACCAGTAGTGAATCCCTCTTCTTCCCACGTCTGGGTGGAGAACAGAAGGCAGCAGGCGCTGCTGCGTGAGACGCAGAGCCAGATTCTTTCCTTTTGGGAAATAGTGGGCAAAGTCTTTTGTCCTCTGGAAGTGCCGTGGCAGGTTTTGCTCCACTTAGAAAGATGGCTCAGAATCTGTAAAGAAGCATTTCTCTAACCTAAGGATGAAAAAGGGAATGTTATTGGTTGGAGATACTGTCTTCCACCTAATTCTCTGTTGGTTTCTTATGACTGTCAAAGAACTCTCAAATCCTGACTGGCTTCTGGGCAGCAATTTTTTTTCACCCTTAGCTATCAAGATTCCCATCCCCCATTTTTTTTTCTTTTAGAAAATGAAAACGTTTGCATTTTCTACAGGGAACAGATTTGTGCTGCTATCACAAATGATCCTTCTGAAGGGCACCGGATGCTAACTCTGAACTGGGTGTAGCTTTGAGTGCTGACTGTAAATGTAGGTGCATCATTTGATAAGGAGAACAGGCTCTCATTTTTTCAGCTCCTATTATACAAAGTTTACATCTATTTAGGGTTCTACTGAAATCATGTCATTGCAGTGGACAGCTAAGTGACAGCCTAGCCAGGGGTATATCGGTCTACTGAATTTTTTGTACCTTATTGCTAAATAAAATGCAGTGCATTCTGCAAAACAAAAAGGTTGCTTGCATGCATAGCTTGAGTATAATATTCCAACAATATAGTTGCAGGTGTTTTAGGATGTAAAATTGCTACAGATTTCTAGTTATTTTTTTAAGTATGCAAACATTGATTGAGAACCAGAGCTTGGAGTGAGCCCTCTGAGATGAAAATATGCTTATTGGTGAATTCTGTACTCATGAGAGTATTGTTCAAATTCCTAAGTCTTGCTTTAGAAAACAATCAGAAATGTGAACCAAAAAAACCCTACACCCTTTCAGGAGATCCATCAGTGCGAGTAACCTTGTGTTGTAAAATTAAGGAACCCTGGGAAATGTAGTTCTTTAACTTTACTGAAACTGCATTCTCTAGCACCCTTTTGGTTATTTGAAGTGATTTATGCTTTGAGAGTGGGATAGTCCTTGTGATCCCGAAAATGGTGAAACTAACTTGAAATTGTTTCTGCAGTGGTGATACAGGTACTCCTCGACTTACAACCATTTGTTTAACAACTGTATGAAGTTATGATGGTGCTGAAAAAGTGACTTATGACCAGTCCTCACACTTACGATCGTTGCAGCATCCCTGTGGTCACATGATCAGAATTTGGGTGCTTGGCAACCGGTATGTATTTACAACAGCTGCAGTGTGGCAGGGTCACACAATCACCATTTGTGACCTTCCCAGGGGGCTTCCAACAAGCAAAGTCAATGGAAGCTGGATTCACTTAACGACCACATGATTTGCTTAATGACCACAGCAAAAGGTAAAATCAGGTGCAACTCACTTAAGAACCACATTGCTTAGCAATGGAAGTTCCAGTCCCAATTGTGATCTTAAGTCGAGGACTACCTGTAGTGAAGCTAGATCTTAAATGTGTGAGATTGGCTCAGAACAAAGTAGATCCAATCATTGGTCAGTTTGGTCCTGTTCAGGACTGGCTACTTCTACTGGCTGCAATTCTCTGGATTCTCAAAGTGAAGAATTCTAGGCAAAAGATCTTTTTAAACTGAAGTTGCTATGGATTGAGTTCAAGGCCTTTTGTGTATAGAATATATCTTCTGCAAGTGAATTGTGACCCATACATGTTCTCCTGTATCTGGATTGTTTTCTGGCACTTTATTTTTTTTTCTTTGATGTTTTGTTGTTAAAATATTGTAATGAAATACAAGAGAGAGTAAGAAAAAGAAGAAAATAAAGCAAAACAACTCCTGAATATGAATTAAAAGCATTGTAAAAAGACTTTCTGGTAACACATTCTCCCCTTCTCTTCCATTTGTGTCCCCAACTACTGACTGTAGTTTAGCTACCTGTACTTTACATTAAACATTTAAAATTGTTACTGGTTTCTATTTAAATTTTAGAAGCCACATTCCACATGTTTGACTTTGCCTTGCTATGTAATGTGTTGTATATAGAGGACAATGTTGCACGAATTTAGTTAAACTTCTATTATGAATACTGTACATGGTCAATTCTGCCATTGCAGCATTGTCTCCCAATCTGTTATTGTTGGCAAAATTTCTCTTTTCCAACGTTGTGCCATTTCCTGGCACTTTAGAAGCCCAGATGTGCATTAAAAGCCACTTTCTAATCTCTTTGATATTTTAGAGCAGTGTTGCAGTGTTATTGGCAAGAGTCCTAGAAGTTTGGTGGTTATGTAGATAGGAAGATATCCACACACACACACCCTCCCCCGGTATTCAGCCACCTCCAAAGAAATACTAGGTTTGTCTATTATGCTAAATTATAATGGGGTTGATTGGTCTTAAGAACCCAGACACTGATTTGTAGATCACAGTTTATTTAGCATGAACCAGTATAGCGTGGACAGTTCTACTTAAACCACTATATTTGTACAACTTGTCCAGAAATACGGTCTTGACCCATCCATCAGTAATCACTCTGCCTTTATTACGTCTTCCCATCTAATATAGGAGGATAGGTTCAGTTGCTGTATTAATTTCTATCCCAACTACCACATGTAGTTGTCAATTGCCAAATAACATTTTTTCCACCCAAATGAGATTCTCTTCCTGCCCCCAGCACCCATTTTTTTAAATAGCTTTAGTGTTTACTAGTTACAGTGTCACATAAGCTCTTGCATCACTGTGAATACAATTAGCTGCAGGTATGCTGTGTAAATGTTATTTTGTGCAAGCCAGGGGAATTTGAACTTCTGACCCTGTACTTCCTGGCAAATCAAATTAAGGTGAACGATTAAACAACAACAACAACCCTAATGGAATTAGGCAAGGGCTGAGGATAAATATTTTAAAAACCCAGTGAGTGGCATCCTATAAGCAAGTATGATCAGAACAAGAAGATTGCACAATGTTGAGTAAATATTTGTTTGGCATGCAGCAAATTACAGGTGGGGCCAGCCATTTCAGTCAACTGTTGTGTGTCTAGGTGCACAATGTGTAGCATTTTTGACTGCCGTTTGTGTTGTGCACCAAACAGCAGACAATCTACTCTCGGGCAGCGTTTTTAATAACCGTTTACGAACTTGACCTACTTCCGTTGCAAACAAATGTAAGCAATGAATATTTCACTCTACAAAACAATAGGATCCTCCCGGACAAGAAATAGCTCTCTTTTTAAGCATGCCTACATCTGGGGTGTTCAAAGAGATTTAGGAAAGGGGTCCAAGGCCTGCTTTTCTGAACAGGCCAACCGCGTGTAGCCTCTATTGGGTCAAGGTGTGTCTGCTCATTTCTTTCAGAAAAATTAAATAACTACCCATTATAACAGTTCAGTACTGTAAGCCAGCAAACAAGAAAGGGTTTGATTTCTCTGTAATGGGAACGGCTTCATATATAGAACTGCTAGAACAGTGTGTGTCAACCTTGGCTGCTTGAAGATGTGTGGACTTCAACTCTCAGAATTCCCCAGCCAGCCATGCTGGCTGGGGAATTCTGGGAGTTGAAGTCCACACATCTTCAAGCTGCCAAGGTTGACAAACACTCTGCTAGATGATGTAAATTTGTATCTGCACTGCAAAGGGGTAAAGCCTTAGCAGTGGCTTTCCATTCTCAGTTTCTACAGCCAAATCCTCTGCTCAAATAACCTCCATTTTTGGTTGTGCCCTTCAAAAGCCGCCGCCACCACCACCACCACCACCACAGGACACTGCTGAGAAATTTTTGCGCTTGCCCCATTTTGTCTTTTTGCAAGGATGCTTCCATTATTTTCTGTCTGCTGCTTTTGAAGTGGGGCAAGGGGGTGGTTAACCCTGCCCTCACCCCATCCATCCACCCTCCAGCTCTAGTCCTCCAGAAAGGCGGCCAGCAGCAGTCTCTCGGCATCCTCTGAGAGCTCCACCACCACTTGCTTCAGCATGCTGTAGATGTATTCCAAGGAGATCTTGGGCTCTACCTTGGCCCCCTGCCCCCAGTACGGCACATAGCTCCAAACCCAGCTGCTCAATGAGGGGGGCTTAACAATGAGGTTGAGCAGGTCCGTTGGCTGCATTGGCTGAGCAAAGCGGCTTTGGATTGCTGCCTGAAGCTGCAGGGCTGCTTTGCCAGTGTCCCGGGCAGTGTTTTTCACAGACGTTTCATCCAGACCAAGGCTGATGCAGAAGCTGACGATGGTGGCCAGGAGTTTCTCAACCACGGTTTCCTTGAGATTATCGCAATAGGAGAGGCCAATTTGCAGGATCTTCTCCCACACATCTTTCATCAGCATTTTGCTGTTGTGCCTTACCAGCTGGGAGAAGACCGTTGGGATGGTTTTCCTCAGTGCTTTCTTCTTCAATTCAGAAGCTCGGCTCTGGAGTTCTTCCCGAAGGAGAGGGAGGTCATAGGCTTCAGCCATGAAGGAGGAGACCAGGAAGACTGGACAGTCAATGCCATCATTCTTCAGAGCTTCTATGCAGCTCTTCCGGACTTGTTCCTGCAGTTCCTCTTTCAGGCTGGGTTGGTTTCCAGCCTGGGCCCCCACATCTACATCTATCTTGTTCCTCACAAAGAAAGACTGTTTCCCCACAGAAGCAATAATTCTGGCCAAACAGCTGTGGATGTGCTTATAACGCTCTGAGGCCACCACCAGGAAGACGCTGTAGCGGCTAAGATCCAGGTGGTTCACATCATCCTCTGTCAATCCCACTCCTGGCAGATCCCAAAGGTACATGTTAGGGACGAACGGGAACCGGTAGGCTGTTGCTGTCCTGGTGGTCTCCGCGACTCCAGTGGGGGCCGCCTCGGTCTCTCCACAGCCTACTCTTCTCAGCGCATTGATCAGAGAGGAGTTTCCTGAGCCTGTTTCCCCAATCACAGCTACGTCCAGACGGATTTGAGTGGGATCTTCCAGCATAGCCTGGATTATAGCTGGGACTTCTGCCAAGGATCTGGACTTACAGATCTTATACAGTTCCCTGACTGCCTTCTGATTTACCACACTGAAGTCCTTCAGATTTTCATCATGGTGTCTAGAAAGAACCAAGAACAGAAATATAAATGCCCACACTGTCTTCCCATAGTAATCAATTGGAGTTAGAGATACCAATAAGACGACAGCCCTCCCACAGGATCCATCAAGGAATCAACACTGTCTTTCTCAGAGACTACATTGGGCGTCTCCAGTAATAGTCTGGAAGATTTTGCTGGAATGTTTTAAATTGCCACATAAAGGTAGACCTTGCTTACCAACTGCCTCATTCAGCGACTGTTCGAAATAACAACGGTGTTGAAAAAATAACTTTACAACCAATGCCTGCATTTATGACTTCTGCAGCACCCCTCAGTCATGTGATCGCCATTAAGGTCAGTACACATTGTCCTGTGCCTGACTTCTTGTTTTTCCTTTTTCCCCCTCTTGCAGAGCAGAGAGATTGGAGAGGAAGGGATTATAAGAGTAAGCAGATACACAATGGGGAATACATTTGTGTAGTGTGCTTGTGGCTCCCAGTCCTGAGTGCGCTCAGGGCTGCCAGTGCCACCACATTTCTTTAGATGTGTATTTCCCATTGCATGTCTGCTTACTTTCTTGTAATCCCTTCCTCTCCTATTAATGTAAGTACAAACATCAATTCCTTTCTTGCTAATTACCCCAGCACCAGGGTGAGCATTCCAAAGGGTGAGGGAATGGGGAAAAGGAAAGCAGTCACAGTCATGCGATCTCCCATTTAGCGACTACTTCGCTTAACGACAAAGCTGCCAATCCTAATTCTGGTCACTAAACAAGAACTATCTGCATAGGATGCTAAAGGAAGTCAGAGTGTGAAAATTTCGTGTTATGTTATCAGGAACTTTTTCTACTCTTTGTATAACAGAGTTCTGATTTAGCATGTTTATTTGATTTCCATATAGCAAACACAACTAAGGAAAAAAGCAGGTCACGTTTGACTGGGCTAATGCAAAAGGGTAGAATGGTGTTGTATAGAGATGCAACAGCCAGATACTTCTTCTTTTCCAGTCCTGGAAGAGAAGTCAGATGTTCTGATCTAACTAAGTCAGGCCCTCCTCAAACTCTAGACATCTTTACCTTTTCAAGTTGAGCACTTCTCCTTCCAAAGTCTCCTCGAACCAGGCAAAATCGTATCTCTCAGTCTGCAACCCAGACACCAGGAAAACCTTCTTGGCCTCCAGCCCGTCCTTGGCCAACCTCTCTGTCAACTCCTTCCGGATCTGGCCCATCTGCTCTGCAGGATTGTACCTGTGTCGAAGCCGCCTTCCAGCTGTGTGCAGGTCCAAGTCGATCTTGGTGCGAGCCACAAGGAAAGGTTTCCTCTTTTGCTGGATAGCCTTGAGGACTTGTAGATGAACGTCTCTCAAGCCCGTGGTTCCCACCACCATCACAAAGCACCTGAATTGGTTTAGGTCACCCAGGCGCTTGAGATAGGCAGCTGGATTCTCAGTCGCCTCAAAGCCAGGCAGATCATGCAAGGTGAGGTGGGGGAAGGTGGGATGAGTGTGGACCTCCGCAGAGACGGTGGGCTGCGGGGCTTCCCTGAAGTAAGCAGCAAGATTTGTCACCTGGCGGGGCTTGCTCAGCAGAGCCTGAACCAGCACGCTTACCCCTGTGCCACGCTCTCCTAGGATCCCAACCTGGACCTTGAGGGAGTTCAAAAAATCCATCAGTTTCTGGATTTCAGAGGGAGCTGTGACTGCGTTCTGGGCCAGGTATAGGGCCTTGATATTTCTCAACTCCACTTCGTTTGGATAGGGGGAGCTGGCCATGGCTGAGCTGCAGGGAAAAAGAGAGGAGGTGAGTATGGCCCAGGCAGGAGCTTCTGGGGAGAATCCAGGCCGAGTCCCCTTCACACCACCACGTGCAACCACGCACTGACACCCATTCTCAGCCCCCTCTCTGCTTCCCCACCACTAGCATCAGTCTGTGCAGACCCTCCCGAATCACAAGAGTCATGCTGCAAAGCGAAGGAAAATCCATCCGGCAACTGTTGGAATGTCTGCCTGTTACCCTCTCGCTTTCAGGCTGGGGACAAGATGGGGCGACCCAGTTCCATCGGGAGCAACTGGGGGGCCCCAGGAGAGGGCTGGTGGATCCCAGGAGGCGCAGCCAGAGCCCCTCCCGCTCACGATGCTCCGATGCCGCTTCGCCTCTTGCCCGGCGGTCCCTCCCGCCCCCGTCCAGCCCGCGACCGGGAGAAAACGAAAGCTAACGGCGCCTCGACCGCCGCCTTAAGAAAGGCCCTGGGCTGCCATACCGCAGACGACCGTGCGGGGGCGGCAAGGAGACACGGAAA